ATGTATGTACATGTTATGTACACAATCGTAGACAAAAATGTTACATATTTAATTCTCAGAGTCAACAATTAGCACATATTTGGGAACAAAGGTTGGGATACTCGTTTTATAATACATGTCTAATAAGTTGATAAAACTGAGTCAACATTGATTTTATTTATAAAGTGATAAAATCTCTAGAAAATGTGATAAGAAAATAGGTTTCAAAAACGTTGTTTTCATTTTTAAATTGTTTTGAATATCACGATTGTACAATAAATATACATTTCGAACAAACCTTTTCCGAATATTGCTTAGCGGTTATACGTTTTCACCTTGTTTTTAATTACAGTATATGAAAACCTAACATGTAAGACTTTAATAAAATGTAAGAATTCGTTCTCAAAACCACAGCGCCCCCCACTTCAGAGATGACGCTCTCACTCTGCTATAGGAACAGAATAATTTGGAAAGGGATGCAAAAATAGGAAGTAAAATTAAAGAGAAAATTCACATTATCAATTGTTCAAACTGGCTTTTTTATATGATTTAACCATTTTCCACACATAATCCCGCCAGAATAAGTAATATACTGTAGGAGGAGTAGTGAAAACTTAAAATGGTGTTAGCAGGTATCTATTGACTTGTGTATTGAATTTGTTGCAAGAATATCTATAAAAGTGTTGGTTGGGTCGATAGACCCAACCAACACTTTTATATGTTATGTTTATTCTGCTACTGTACATTATTTCTTCTTTCTATACCCTGCCTACAACTAAACATCGGTTATCATAATTTAATTTACCGCAGTTCTAAAGAGGGACGACGAAGACTGATTAAATCGCTACCGTAGGTTACGAAGCCACAATATTCTTCTTCGACCCGGACCCCTCTTGTCACATATATTGCCCTGAATATATGTGAAAAGAGGATTCCATAACGTGTCGCATGACATGGACAAAATACTCAAATTTTGGTATTTTTATTACTTGAGATTGTTTTTTTAATGTTACAATACCCCTTAATTTTTCACTCTGTCAACACAGCTTATGAGTAGCAAAAAAAGCTTGATGTTTATTTACTAGCGATTTAGTGAGCGTCCACTTTTAAACTCCGTAGAATAATGTCTAGAAAATATAACATTTGACGAGTCTTATGTTCAGGTTATTGTTAATATTCCGTCCATAATACTTATTTCATTCGAAAGAAGGCCGCTCGGGCCTTTTCAATGCAGATTTGTATCTCTTTTTATTCCAATAGTCATTTTTATCTGAAACGACATAAGTAATGTTCTCAGTTTTTTTTTCTCAGTAATTCAGTACTACATGCTCTAATTATGTAGTCGTCTACCGGTGTTTTGCGATATATTTAGTATATATATATATATATATATATATATATATATATATATATATATATATATATTTAGTGCTACCATATATTTAGTTTTACCAACAATGTCAATTAATAATTGTAGTTCTTCCGCAGAACTCGCAAGCAACACAGTATCATCCACATATCTCAGATCACTGATTTCGTTGACCTTGATAGCATTATCAACCCTGGCAAGTGTCTCTCTGAGAATATGAATTAAAAGCAGTGGTCAAAAGATGCACCCCTGTCTAACCCGACGGAGAATTTCAATTGATTTAAAAGTACCCAGGCAAATTCTGACATTTGCTTTTTGGTAACAGTAGAGCTTTTGTATAATTCTTAAATCTTTGTCGTCTATTCCTACACGTCCAAGAATTTCCATCACTTTTCCATATCTAACTTTATCGAATGTTTCTCAACGTCTATAAAGCACATGTACACAGGATGATTGAAATCTCTACACCTCTTAGCCAGCACTTGTACGCTAAATAGTGCCTCTTTTGTTCAAAGATTCGTACGGCAACCAAATTGTGTATCACCGATTTCTCCTTTAATTCTAGCATACATTCTGGAGTCAATTATCCGAAAAACATTTTTAAAACGTGACTCATAAGACTGATTTTCATATACTCGGAACCCTTTTTAAGCATTTGCTTTTTTTTGAAACATCACAGAGATAAGCCAATCTGTTGATAATTTCCCAGTTTCGTATACCTACTTTATTTAAAAGGCTAAGAAGCGTTTTTCCGTTCATTTCCAAGTATCTTAAGTATTTCATTTTGTCTTCATCATTTCACCTTGTCCTGTAACTTTTCTGTTTTTGGCAATTTTTATTACATTTTCTAATTGTTCCATTTTTATTGTGGGACCTGTATTACAATTTTGTATTTCCTTTACTTGCCGTTCATCGCTAAATATTCTTTAATGTACTGTTCTCATCTTTTCAGTTTATCGATATCGTTGATAAGGTTACCTTCTTTATCGATACTATTGTATGATCTTTTAGTAATACCAACATACTCAGCTTCACACTGAGTACAACTAATGCTGTATACTATATTTGTTTTATCTAATTTGTCTATAGAATACTTAGTTTTGGAATATAAAGATGAAATAGGTTTGATGTTCTTTGTTGCTATTTTTATATTGTCAATAACCTTTAGTGTTTGTATTAATTTAGGTGTTAATGATGGTATAAAAGGTAGTGAATGATAATAGATGTTCTGATTGTTGGATACAATGTTCTCAGATTTAGCAAAAATGGTGTTAAGTTATTTATATTACCAATATTAGAAAAAAGCATCCTATATAGTAGCATATCTGGAGGATAAGAGTTCTCAATTAAAGTATTTTTTAACAATTCAGGTGAGACCGGAAGAAATCTGTCAAATCGCATTATTTCCTACAAAAGTGATTGTAGAATTAAAAAACCATCTTGTGCTTTAGCAGAGCATGTAATCGACATAGACCATATTATGGATTTTGATAACATTAAAATTTTGTGTAGTGAAGGTAATAAATTCAAAAGAACTTTTTTAGAAATGGTTTGTATTAGGAGAAGTGATAATATTTTAAACAGACGATCAGAAATTCACAATATAAGCAAAATTTATAAATATATTATTTCTTTGTCGTTTATTCATAAAACCAGTAAAATATCAATTTTGATTTAATTTTTCATATATTTGTTATTTTTTTTCAGGCATGTATCAATGATGAATACATCTTCTTCTTTTTTATTACTAAATAAAAAAGAATTTTTAAACAAAATTTTATTTTTGGCAATATAATTGTCAAAAATGAAAATTTTAAGTTGGCATTTATGACATTGAGGCTTATTTGTAATTGGCCGCTATTCTAACTTATTTATAAATTCAATTGTTTTTGTGTTAAAAATTTTTCAAAATTATAGAAATAATTTAGACAATAATTCAATAATAACAATAATTTAGAAAATTTCAGAGAAACATTTATTGGATAAGAACATTTTTAGAATAGTTTTTTGAAATATGTTAGCAGCAATTTATTAACAAAACTAATTTTATTTGGTGAGTTAATAATTTTTTTATAGTTCCACTTTGAAAATAATTGTAAACACAATTGAAAGCTCGAGATAAAAATAGTTAACCAATAGCCCCTTTTATTGACTCCAAACCATCCAAAACATATTTATATATTTTTTCCAAACGAGTCACAAGTACTTCTTTTTTCTTACTTATATATATATATATATATATATATATATATATATATATATATATATATATATATATTTGTATCAGCCCAAGTGTTTGATGAGGATGGGATAGGCCGAAATGATCATAACACTTTATTGATACCGATTCGAGCACGAGAAGCTTGGCGGATTTGTCCTAAGCCATATATTTGGCCATTTAATAGTCGATATAAATAAATAATACAGTTTATTAGGGTTGCAGTCAGAAAATTGGTCGGGATATTAAAAAACACTCTTGACTTTTTGTCGAGCTTTCGGAATGGTTTTATTCCTTTTTCAAGACACTGTAATAAGACAAATTTGTAAATATTTAATAAATATCACAATTCTTCAGTGTAACTTACTAGTCGTTGAGATTATTTATATAAGCATTGACACTCAACATGTATAACACACATTAAAATATACAATTATGGACAACATGCATTATAAAATTTTTAAAATTTATTGTAAAAATAGTAAAACTTAGTTGATGGCATGTTTTACTGGTGTGTTTTAACTCATACAGAGAATGAAAAGATAACATCAATTACACTTAATTACATGTTAATTACAGTGTTTTTACTTTCCACCCGTTTACTTTCCACCGAATCTTTAACAAACGTATAGCAGAACACAAAAGGGCTTTCAATAAGAGAAAAACAGATTCTACGTCTGCACTTCACCTTCTAGATCACAACCATTCTTTTAATAAATAATTCTTTATATTTAAAATTAAGGTCTTAAACTATCTTTATTAGAATCTATGGATATTAACAAATTAAATACTATCGATATAATTCTGAATGACAAACTTGAAACAAACAGCTCTCCCCACCCCAACTTATTCAGTTAACGACTATAAAGTGTAGGCTCATAACAAAATATGTCACTTAAGCAAGGCACTTCCAATGAACTTCCATTAGGTAACGGTAGAAGGAAGACCACTTATTTCAAAGTGGTCTTCCTATGATTTTAAAAATCAAACACTGATAAAAACCGAAGAGGTACTTGTAAAGCTCAGTTCACGAGATTGTTTAAACTAAATAGTTTGTTTAATAACTTTGCAAAAAGTTTAAAATATTTAAATATTGATTTAATATATTTCTGTATTATACTGCATTCTACTTATGAGTTTTTAATACATATTGTTTCATTTAGTAAAATGGTTGCAATTTCTTATATTTTTGTCTGTTTTTTATTCTCCTAATCTAATAGTTCATTTCGAAACTATTGATAAATAAATATCGCTTGCATGTTTTCATAGGTGAGGTTAATCAAATTTTTAGTTTTTAATGTAAGATTCATGTTCATGTTATATGTTCATTAGAAACATACAATTTGGAAAACAAGACACAAAACTAAATTTAGATTTAAAGAATATTTAACGGATTTTTATAGGGTAAATTAAAAAAACAAACAAACAAAAAATCTATTCTACAATTTGACGTCGTTTAAAATCTTCAATACGGTCATCGCTAAAACCCAAAATTTCACTTAAAACTTGCTTGGTGTGTTGCCCTAATGTAGGTGGTGGACTTTTAACAAAATTTCCCCCCTCTCCATATTTAACCGCAGGTCCAACCACCTTTATTTGACCAGCTACCGGATGATCCAAAGTTTTTACCAAATTGATTGCTTTAACATGAGGATCTTCAAACGTGTCCTTCATTGTATTGACCGGTCCACATGGAAACGATGCTCCCAAGAATATATCGGCCCATTCTTTGTTAGTTTTTGCCTTCAAGATGGTTCGTAACAGCGGCACCAATTCTTCTCTGTTTTGCACCCTCAAATTATTTGTTAAGTACTTTTTGTTTTGTGGAAGATCTGGTCTTTGTATTCGTTCACAGAAGTCTTTAAACTGCAGTTCGGAGCCGGTACCAATGGTAAAATAGCCGTCTTTGGTGGGGAATGATTCATAAGGAACTATACTTTCGTGTGCAGTGCCCCATTTTTTGGCCTCTTTGCCAGCGTTCAAGTAGTTCGAGCCTATGTTTATAAGTGTAGATATTTGAGTGGAAAGGAGATTGCAGTCAATTTTTTGGCCTCTTCCGGTTCTTGAGCGTTTGATGAGAGCCGCCATGATGGCGCCATGTGCGTAGAGACCTAAATTTATATAGATTTTAATGAGTTCATGTTAAAAAAAAAAGTATAAAATGATCAGGCATACAAACATACATCCTCAAAAACATATACGTTAATTTTAAATATTACGTCGGTATTTACCAATTTTCTGTAAACTATTTCGAATCACATTTTTTATTTTACGTAATAGATAAGGATAACAAATAATAACCAGTTTTAAGAAAGGTGTAGGAGGAAGTCAATTATTCATGTGAAAGTAATAATTACTGCTGTATAAGTACACATCTTTGTTTGTTACATACTTGTACAAGTTTTGAAACCTTCGCACTGCATCTCAGGTAGTCCATTTCGGTGACATTTACTCGTTTCGTTTCTGATATTTTTGTTCCAAATCTCGCTTTATAGACATTTGCGATTGATGTTCGTGTTTGTTAAGGAGAGATCGGAAAGACGAGTGGCTTGCTAAGAAGCAGTAGTCAGTCAGTGTGTTTATGCTGTGTCGTTTGTGGTGTGTGGTGAGGAAGGTTGCTAGCCATGCTCCTCTGCGGGGGTAGTTTCGCGTATTACCAACTATATTTTGAAAACGGCTCTTTCGATTAAGCATTTTTGGCTTGCAGATTGTTAAAATCTGCAATATCTTATTGGCTTCTAGGGTATTAAAATACTCATCAAGAAGTTCGTTTCCAGCCAAATTGAGAAGATTAACCAGAAGAAAGGAAACTTTCTTAACTTGGTGGTGGCAAGATGTTTCAAGGACCTTCTTTGCTCTGATGTTGGAGCTTGTTACGGTGCGCGAAGGACATGTCTCTTGCCGAGAGTTCGGATTGTGTTCTCTATGGTTGGACGTTCGTCAGTTGGTTAATTAATGCCGACGGATAGTCTGGAGGCACATTGAAAAACATACATGTCTGCATAAAAAGAAAAAGAAGAAGAAGGATAGTCAGCGCGCTTTCTCATGATATTTGTCAAGATCTTGCGTTCGGTGGCCATAATGGCGTTTATTTGGCGGTTGTTCAGTGATGAGTAAAGAATAGCCCTGTACTCAATAATAGGTCTGTGTAAGTTTTATAAGTGTGTAGAAAAGTCTTGCTCTGTGTACCCCAAGATTTGATACGGCTCTCAGGAGTCCAGCCTTCTGCTAACTCTGTTAAGGGTGATATTTAGTTCAGTATCCCAATTGAAGTTCCTCTGAAATTGAACACTCAAATAGTTGACCGAACTTTAAAACGGGAATCTGGCTCCAGGATATAATCAATGATGGATGCACCCTGGTGACCGAACAACGCACAATAATCAACTTTGTAAATATTTGGCTTCCTTTTATCTCTTATTTTTCTTTGGGTATTTTCGTGTTTCCACAACTCCACAATTAATTAACACAGCCTCATCATATATATTGAACAAAAGCGGTTGGTGAAAATAAACTCTTGTTTTAAGTCTCTATAGGTGTAATTAGGTTTTGATAGCTTTCTGTCTTCCCAACCAATGTTTTATTATCATAATAGAGTTATTGACAGTTCAGAGTCTTTATAGACACATAATGCTTCCTACAATTTGGTATTGATATATATATATATATATATATATATATATATATATATATATATATATATATATATATATAAATACTAACTATGTGAACCACACATCTCCAACAACTACCTTTTTTATTCCATGGTTGCAATACGGTTTCTTCAGTGATCTTTTTTTTAATTTTCGAATTTTTTCAGAAAAATGTTTACATTCCATATGTATTAACTAATTTAAAAGTTCGCATATTAATATGTATATACTACCAAACGCAAGTCTTCTGAAAATATAATGAAAATAGTAATAGATGAAGGATAGAAAGCGAAGAATTCGGACTTCAGATAAACACTGGAAAAATAAAAATAAGATCCTAAAAAGAGCAAATAATAATATACCGCACATACACCACATAATGACAAATCAAGTGACGAGCCCAACTATGCAAATATGTCTATGTCTAGGTGGTAGACATATTTGCATAGTTGGGCTCCCTACTAACAAAAAATGGCGATTGCTACTCAGAAATCAAGTCTAGACTAGCAATGGTCCGAACAGCAACAGCTAAATTGATTAAAATATGGAAAGACCGAATAAAAACAAGGTATACTAAGCTTAGGTTGGTCAATGCCTTTATCTTTGCCATTGCTACATACTCAGCTGAAACATGGACTCTTAAACAAAAAAATCGGTAGGAGTAAGATCAAAACCTTCGAAATGTGGGTCTATAGAATTCTACTCGTATCCTGGAGAGAACATAGAATCAACCTGTCAATTATGGAAAAGCTTCATATAAAAGATATTCTATTAAAAAAAGTAAACCGAGCATACCTAATTTACTTCGGAAACATGAGAATAACGGGGACCATAGAACTATTGGTAGTAGAAGGCTGAAGACAAGAGAAAGATCTCCAACATGATGGGCAGACCAATTAAAGACTCTGGTGAGAAAATGAAGCCTTCCATATGGCACATAATTGCAGCCAATGGAGACAGCAAGTGTCCACTTGCTATAATAATAATATTTAGAGTGTCACCACGTCCTGACAAGGGCTCAAGGAATGAGCAGAAGGAATGTATTAGTATAGCACATAAATATTTAATAATGTATTAGTAATTATGCGGCAAATTTCTAGTAGTAATATGATAAAGAATATTATAACTTTAAAATATTTTATTTTTCTTTAGATTAGTCAAGCAAATATGGAAATTCCCCAAATGTTCGTCAAATGCATAATTCAGTTTGTTGTGACAAAATAACAAATTTATGAAGTCTGTAAAACAGTAAAAAATAATATATTCATCTTGTATTTATTGAAGTAGAAATTAAGTTTAAAATGATATTGTTAGCGTTAAAACCTGTACAAATCAATGGATACACTTTAAACAGGAATAAGGCACAATTAATTTAAAATAAATTTATTTTAACGTTTCGATTTAAACTTCGGAAATCGTTTTCAAAATACAAATTAAATAAATTTAGTTTTTGATACTTGGCAATACAAATTTTTCTAATAAGTTAATTTTATCTGACTCATCCATATTGACAATTCTGACGTATATATGTTAAAGCAGACTTTAAAATATTAGTATTAGAGTAGATATTGTCAATATTTTTGAGTTGCGTTCCTGGGATGATTTTATCAGAAGATAGTTCATTCGATTACATGAAATCAACTTTAACTTAAGAATACCTGTCAGGAAACGACGCCCAAAAAGGCGAAAGCTTTCCTTGCTAAAGAATTACGTACGTGGTTCAACACAACAACCACAAATCTTTTCAGAGCAGCAGTGTGCAAAGTACAGATGGCCATGATGATCACTAACATCTGAAATAGTCTATAGCATGAAAGAATGTCTAAATAAAAAAAAAATTCTTTACATTTCATAAATTATTTGGCAAAAATGATATTTAAGATGATTATAAGATTTATCAAATCATAATAGCAAGTGTAACATCAAATTACTCTGTAATAAAACTAAGCCTGTAATTATATAGATTGACGACTTAGTCAGAAAAATAATTAAAACATTGTTTCCTAACACATATTTTAAGCAGGTTATAACGGTATTTAAAAAACACGTGAAAGAGTTAGCAGGAGGATCAAGATGATTCCAGTTTTAGGACTAAAAACATCTGAGAATTTAGAAGATAATGGAGTTGTTTATGAGTAAGTTTGTTAAAGTTACCATATTTGTTTTCTCGCGACTTGTGTTATCCTTATTTTATTAGATTACTAGCTCACTCTTCGTAATTTATACAGGCTAAATCATGATATCTCACCACTTTTTGTCATTTTCTGCTTCTCTGTCTTTATTACTTGTAAATTTATGCTTTTTCTCATAATTATTGATTTGTTTTCAATTATCCACATCAGCCATGTTCTGACTGTAGTGTATTCATTCCCCATTAAAATAAAACGAAATGTTAATTTTACCTCCACAAATCATGATATGATAATGACATTGAAAAAGTAATATTTTTTAACAAATACCATATTCATGTTACTTATACAACTTATCTAAGAAGTCCCTGTGGAATTTTTTTCTTTATTTCAGTTACACTTATCTCCAGACAAAGCATAAATTACATGGTTACAAGTGTTAAAAATAAAAACATAACAGAGATATCACTTCGTTATACTTTTTAAAATTTGAAAGTAAATGGCCTAATGAAATACCTAATTGAAACCAAAGTACTAAACATTGCTTTTTTTAATATTCATAAGTTTTACTAACAAACGATAGCTTTATCAACTACCTTCTTCCATAGCAAATTAATTTTAGTAGACTTTTTGTAGTTTATTAAATAATATAATATCCAATTAAGTCAGCACCATATGGGAAACTTTTTTTCTTTTTAAAATTAAAAAAGAGAGGTGACGATTGACGCAAATTACAATGGGTGGAATGCATAAAAAGTAGTAGATGCTATTGCTTCAGCAAATAGTCTCTGGTTTGTAGCATTTACTTTTACATAAAAGGAGATGCTTTGTTGAAAAGACCGTACTACACAACCGAAGTACTTGCTACTGACCTGAAGGTTCTACTACTAAACGTAACGCCAGCCGTAGTGCCCTTGTGCGCATCACACCAATCGTATTAGAACTAGTTTTTCATGTGATTTTTTAACTTTTTATAAATATTTTATATTAATACCTAAATATATATACATATTCAGTAAGCTAAAATAAGTCTTACCTGCCCCCTACTCTCCTACTTTCCCATTTAAAAAATCAAAGTTATGACTGTCACCTGAAGAAAGATTGCTTAAAGTTCGAAACATTGATGCTATAATATACTATAATTATTTTAAAAATCCACCTCTTCGAGTGTTTTGCATTGTCACCTACTAAAAATAAATGAGTTAATATGGGGGGTTACACTTATTTCAGCGCACTGTATGAATAAAACTGCACGATTCATGATAATTACCTGAATATATTACGATAAATATCGTCATTGTATATTCTTCCTGGTTTGTAGATTTTTCTACGACGAACATTCATAAATGCTGCCATTTAACAAACATAACAAAAAACACCTAAGCCGAAGTTGTTTATCTACCAACTTCACCTAAACTGAAGCAAATTCTACTAAACTAGCAAATACTTCAAAAGCGTAGTACATCCTTCTATGTATCTGGTAAATAGTAGTAAATACTACGGAGGAAAGCAAAATGCTTTGTAAGTGTAGCAAGTACTACAAAAATGTAGAATTACTTGAAGCATTAGCAGATACTACGTTTTATGCATTCCACCCAATTTCTAAACAGATCTAAACGGAGTACGTTTGTTATGAATCAAAGATACACTGTCTGGAATCTTTAAATGATGTTTATTGACTTTGAGATGATAAGAGAAGGCGGAAGTGTTGTCATGTTTAGAATGTTCTGCTGATCGGATAGATAATGATCTATGTTCTTTGGACATAAGAAGCATCACAGTCGGAACATGACAGTCTATGCACACCACTTCGGTTCATATATATAGTGAATTGTATCTTTGATATTGATTAAACTTTTATTGACAGTATTATAGACTTTAAAAGAAATATGGATATTATCATCAGAGTTGAAAGAGATGTGTTTAATATTTTCAGGGAATGAAAAAATTTTGAAAAGGCAATGACCTGTACGAAGGTGAAACTAAAGAGTTAGATCTAAAAGGTGAATGTTGAAGAAGTTTATGTTGTCTGTTTATGTTTGATTATATTCAATTGCTTATTAAATTCAAGTGAAGACAATGGTATAGTATTCAATTTGTGAATAAAAGTTCTAAAAGCGGAATGTTTATGTGAAAGAAGATGATTTAATGTAGAATGAATAGCATGATCTGTCAAGTGGAGACAATGCTATAGTATGCAATCTGTGAATAAATCTTTTAAAAGCAGAATGTTTATGTGAAAGAAGATGATTGGATGTAGAATGAATAACATGATCTGTTTTGGGTAGCTTCCGGTAAATAGCAAAATTGAACTGGTCTTTGAGTCTGGTAATCAGCAAATCTAGAAAATTTATAGCATTGGAAGATTCTAGTTCCACAGTAAATTTAATATTTAAGTGGATTTGGTTAATTTTAAAAAGTAGGTGATGAGCTGAGTCATAATCACCCGAGATGAAGACTAAACAGTCATCAACATATCGGAAACAACGTAATATTTCAGGATTTTTCACGATGTAATTGGATTCTAGATGATCCATAAACATAGCAGCTAGGAGAATAAGCAACTGCTCATTGCCAGACCATATGGTTGTTTGTAGAAATTATTGTTGAAAATAAAGAAAACTTGTGACAGACAAATTTGGAGAATATCTATTATCAGTGCACTGATATGGGGCTGAATGGACTTGTTAATTAAGAGTGATTTTACCATACCAATTGTTTCTTGTTTTGGCACTCAAGTGAATAAGTTGCTAACATCAAAAGAAAGCATGGTAATTTCAGGATGTAGATTGAAGTTTATCAACCAATTGGTAAGAGCTTATTGCTGAGAATTGTGGAGTCAAGTTGGTCAAGTTTTTGATACTGTTGAGAAGGAATTTAGATAAAGTAAACACTAGAGGCAAACGCAGTCCAGGACGAAGAAGAACCTCATGGTTGAAGAACTTGCGAGATTGGTATGGTGTAGATACAAGCATGCTATTTAGGGTGGCAGTGAATAAAATTAAAATAGCTATGATGGTAACCAACGTTCTGAAAGGACATGGTACATGAAGAAGAAGAAACACTAGAGTATTTATAAAACTGACAACGGGATGAATGGGAATGCAACTTTATGTATCTTGGGTAACCCATACAACCTTGGGATCAACGGGTTACTAGGTATTTTGCTATATGGTGCACCATGGTCATAGAAAAAATCAGAAAATTGTTTTATATTATTTTTAAGTTTAGAAATAAATCTCTTAGAAGGATCAACTGCAACTGATATAAAAGTGAAATTGGTACCTTCTAAAAAAATGTAACGTTGTTATTATAGGAGTCACATCCTAAAATGCCCAAACAATTGCCCTTGTCCGCCTTACTAAAAATTAAGTTTTGGTTGGATATTTTTTGCTTAATAGATTTTAGGTAACTAATAAATAAACAGGCTTATTTGACAGAAAGATTGTCAGAAAATAAAGAGTTGTAAGTGGAAGATAAATTAACTTTAGATTTGAATTTGTTTAAGAAGCGGTAACAGGAATTTCTAATAGATTTTTCTTTGAGAAAGGGTTATTGAGAGATTTTGAATTACTATGTCTGTCTCAATGGAGAGAATCTCCAGATCTTTAATTGACAGATCTTTAGGAACGGAGTGTTTGAGACTATAGCGTGACAGTTGGATTTCATCTTTAGAGAAATTTCTGTTAAAAGATTTTTTTTAGTTTTATGAAAAAAGTTATTCTTCGTAAAAGTTCTGTATGTTCTAAAACCTAAAATACAATTATCAAATAATAAATTTTTTCCGTCATATCGGTTATACAGTCACAGTCTTTGAAACTAAAAATATGAATTATGGATATTGGTAACTCTTACATAAAATTCATATATTTTGACAAACTGCTTGTATATGACTAAAAAAATTGAATATCTGATGATTGTATGCTATGTTTTAGATCAGTAAGAACTTTTTATAAAGAATAACTTGTTTTCATAAAATTAAAAATTAAAAACTTTTTTGCTGCAGAAGAACTAGGATGGAAAACTAGGATGCATTACAACTTTACAATTGACAATGAGAATTCTTCTGAATAAATGTTAAGCTGGTGAATCACATAATTGGCAAAATACAAAAGTCAAATTACTGATTTATAAGTTTACTCCCACATCCATAGAAAGTTCCCCTAAACATTATTACTAACAGGCCATCTAATAAATGCGTCAGCTGTCAATCACCAGAAAAGATGGGTTTCCAAATTATACAACAGAACTACACTTTGCTTTTGTTAACTATCACAGTCCGCTTTGTTTTTCCGTCATATCGGTTATACAGTCACAGTCTTTGAAACTAAAAATATGAATTATGGATATTGGTAACTCTTACATAAAATTCATATATTTTGACAAACTGCTTGTATATGACTAAAAAAATTGAATATCTGATGATTGTATGCTATGTTTTAGATCAGTAAGAACTTTTTATAAAGAATAACTTGTTTTCATAAAATTAAAAATTAAAAACTTTTTTGCTGCAGAAGAACTAGGATGGAAAACTAGGATGCATTACAACTTTACAATTGACAATGAGAATTCTTCTGAATAAATGTTAAGCTGGTGAATCACATAATTGGCAAAATACAAAAGTCAAATTACTGATTTATAAGTTTACTCCCACATCCATAGAAAGTTCCCCTAAACATTATTACTAACAGGCCATCTAATAAATGCGTCAGCTGTCAATCACCAGAAAAGATGGGTTTCCAAATTATACAACAGATTATCACTCACTACACTTTGCTTTTGTTAAATATCACAAGGCCTTTGATTCAGTTGAACTGTGGACCGTATTCGAAGCAATGGATTACGCTTGGATAGACTCGAGATATAAGAAGCTGTTAAAACATGATGTCCAAGATGGACTAAACCAGGTATAAACCAGGTGGACTAAAGGCATCATACAGTGGAGATCTAGGTTACATAAGACAGGTATGGATCGGCCTCCAAAAATATGAAACAAAAGGCAGAAA